CTGTCTTCATTTTAAGAGTAAAGATACTAATTTTATAAACTAGTTGTGAAGATTTTATATACATTAACATATAAGAAATGTTTAGAAGATTGCTTAACATATAGAACTATAAACTGCTATTGCAGTTGCTGCTCTAGCTCATGTAGAGAGCCACTGGCTTAGGTTCTGTTGCCCCATGAGTTCCTTTATTGACTTGGACAAGTTACTTAGCTCCTGTATAATCTGTAAAAGCTATCTTTAAGGTTTAGGGCATGTGAAGAGGTCGGCCATAGCCCCACACCATGCCTTTTGGCTTGGACAGGCAGAAATCAACTCGTGGTTGGGTACCTTTATGGTGAGCAAGTACAGGGTGGGGAGTTGGAAGAGAGAAGGAGGCAGATGGTTATTTGTTGGGGAGAATGGCAGAACATAGGGTGGTGAGGAATGGGCTGACATGGATGGCCTGCTTGCTACCTAGGTCCATGGTGATTGCCAGCATGGGCTGTTGTCAAGGGCCATGTTGTGGGCCGTGGCCCTGAAACAGCATTGGGGGTCTTTGTTGGTGTCTATGGCTCCTGATACCTCTAAGGGCCCTGTAGACTCTTACGACCATGTTAGTGTCTGAAGAATATGCCCCCCGTAGGGTCATGCACAGCCGGTTGACCTGTGATGCCAGCTAGGGCCACAGTGACATCTGGGCCTGGGCTGCTGCCATGTCTGGGTCTGCAGCCAGAGTCTTTTGATGTCCGTGGCTCGTGTTGCCACCAAAGGCCACATGATTGCCCAGGATCCATGTTGGTGTCTGAGGTCTGTGTTGCTGATGGGCCCATACAGACCTAAGTGACAAGTGCTGCCACTTGTGCCACAAGTGCATGGGCCTAAGTGGCAGCCAGAGCCATGTCTGTGTCTGTGGCCCTGCCATAGCCAGGGTCTGCACTGATGTCTGAGGGTCCTTTTACCATCGAGGGCTGTGCAGATAAATACCTGGGATCTATGTGGTCACTTGGGGCCATATTGGTGTTTGAGGGCTATGCTGCCACTGGGTCCTGGCCTATCTGAGTGACCTGTATTGCCATCTGGGACCATGGTGACATCTGGGCCATGGCTGCTACAAAATACCATATCTGAGCCCAGGGTTTGTGTTGATAGCTATGACCCTTGTTGCTACCAAGAGCCATGAGGATGTCCGGGGTCTGGGCTGCCACCTAGGGCTATGTTAGTGTCTGAGTAAAGTTGTACGAAATTAATGCGGATAGCAATGGATTCAGAACTAGTTTGAGAAAAAGATGGTTTATTAGGATGTACTCACGAGAAGGAGCCAGTCCTCTACAGCTAGGCAGGAGAGGGAAAAGAGAGCCGTGTGCATGGGTCCCTTATATTTAAGGCCTTGCTACGTCACTCTGACCATGCCCAAGTGTGTGTGGACAGTGTCACCTGTGCCAGCCCCCAAGCTGGTGTGGACAGTGTCACCTGTGCCAGCCTCTAAGTGGTTATGGTCAGCATTTCCCCCTACATCTTAGGGCTGAGCCTCTGCTGAGGCTATACAGATCTGAGTGGCCTGCACTGCCACCTGAGGCAGTGGTGTTGTTCTGGACTGGGTTGCTGATAAGGATTATGTCTGGTTCCATGGCTCTGTTGCAGTCCTGGTCTGTGTTGAAGTCTGTGCCTCCTGTTACCACCCAAGGCAGTGAAGAGAGGGCTGTGCAGAGTTGGTTCCATCCCCAACTGGCTGCAGCACTAGGGGAAAGTGGCCCTGCCCTCACCAACTGCAGCACTCAGAAGAGCAGACCTGAGGTTGTGAGAGCTGGAGAACTGTCTCTGCTCCTTGCTGCTTGCTGCATTGGGTGATAGCCAGGGCAGTTCTGGTGATGGGTGGTGATGATGAGGGAAAGCTGATAGGCTGACCAATCAGGGCTGTGAGCCCATCCAACATCCACTTCATTTATGAACTGTTAGAGCATGTAAAGGGGCCGGACCTGCAAATCCAAAACTGTAGGATCTCCACAACACAGGACAACAACAGGATATTAAAGAGGGGAGTCCCAGTGAGGGCTCATTATCAGTAGTATAACAAAAGCCAGAGACCTCGAACCAGACCAATGACTCATAGCAATGAACACTTACAAATAAAGATGTATGGACTTAAAGGTACACTGTGTGACTCACTGAGCCACACTATAACTTCCATGCCAAGAATTTTTTTTTGATTGTTCTTTTAAATTTTTGTTTGTTCAGGGGCTTGCAAGGGCAGAGGACAGATGTGAGGGGATGGGGAGATGAGTGGGATCAGGAGGCATGATGTGAAATCCACAAAGAATCAATAAAAAGTTAAAAAAAGTTATCTTTAAGGACCTCACCATCACATTTTTATGTTCTCAATCAGTGACAATTAGTCCCTTCCATTTTCTTGGTTGCACAGGACTAGAGTTTCTTGTTCAGGTGGTCACAGGGTCATGCACAGCATGTGTTCTACACATATTTCTGTCTTTTGGGATGTTGATCTGAGTAAGACTGGGCCTGATCATGGCCTTGGTCTCACTACTTTACCTTTCATAAGGTGTTATTTGTTGTCCAGTTGGACAAATCTGGAATCCTAAACCCTTTCAATTGATGAATTACCCATCTGTTTATCTCCCCAGATTTGTCTCTGACAAAATCTCCAAGATTTAATATTGGTATTCTTTTGTATTTATGCTTTTTCCCACAATCCTTGCAGCTTTTTCTTAACCCATCTCCTTTTAAATTTTCTTCTTTTGACAGTTTCATGTACATATATAATGTATTCTCATTTCTCTTTCCCTCTTCCTTCTCTTGTCTCCCTTTGGTCCCTGTTCAGTGCTGTCATCCCTACCAGTTCCTTTCCTAGATTCATGACTTTCCACTCTTCCCAGGCACTCCAATATGTCCTCCTGTCCCCTTCATGTATTCTCTTCTTTTTGTTAATGATCCACTGAGCCTGTTAGTCCTGTGTCTTGGAATGTTAACTGATCTTGCTGGCCTGCCCTTGTGCAGGTAATCATAGATGCAATAATCTCATGAGTTCAGTAGTTGTGTCATGCCCCAGCATTTCACAGCACTCTTCCCCCGCCTTCTCCTCTTCCTCTTCCTTCTCCTCCTCTTCCAACTCTTACATTCTTTCTACCCCTCTTCTGAGATGTTCTTTGAGCCTTGAGGTTGGGTATTGATATTGATATGGGTTTCCCACTTAGGATTGAGTACTCAGTAGAACTAATTCTCAGCACTTTGATCAGTTATGGGTCTCTGCATTAACTGCTTATCACTGCTTCACTGGCCAAGGTTGAAGGCAGCACTGATCTATGGTATAGGCTTAAATGTTTAGAAGGTATTTTGACAACATGTGATTTAGCAAAACAGTAGTAGTAGGTTCCTCCCTACTGAGCCGTGGGTTTTTGACCAGATTATAATACCAGGCCTGAATTCCTTCCTGTTGAACAGGTCTCAAATAGAATCTAAAGGTAGTTGGTTATTCCCATGACCTCAATGCCACTTTTGCACCAGAGAGCACAGGTTTCTTAGTAAGACACATAAGGTCCTTTGCAGGTTACATTTTCTCTATGGCCTCCTTTTCTTTTGATTTAGTTCTTTGAATGAATATTTTATTGTTTTCCTTGTTTAGCTAATATGTGTTTTCTGAATGTGTCATGCTGGTTTGGTGCTTTCGTGTATGCTTCTAACTTACAGTGTACTTTTTTCCATATTCAGTGTCTTTGTTATTATTTGTTGCTTATTTTTGAGTTTTAGCTCATGCATCACCTCCTCTGTGGAACAATATATGATGTCTCCCTCTCCAAAACACTTTTTTCCCCCTGTGTGCCACTCTATATATTGTATAGTAGAGATTTGTATTACCATTTCTTGTTTACATGGCTTCATTAATTTTTCTGCAACTTCTAGCACAGAGCCTGACGTGTAATAGGCTTTAAATTAATATTTAATGAATGAGAGTAAATGTATTTTATGTCGTTACTGGAATGAGAGATTCCCTTTCTTTTCCCAGATAATAAGTTCCTTATATTATACCTTGTTACTTTTCAGGAGCTTGTCTTAAAGTTTTGTTAAATAAAAAAGGCATTATGTTAATCTGAGATTGAAGTATGCAATGAATTAAGTGGTATGCTTCTTCAAAGGAGAAGACGAATTATGTTAGTGCAGAGCATTACCATGGCATGCTTTGTGTCACAAACCATTTACAGATGTGAATATTGTACATCAGTTCAGTTGTTTTGGTATTTTTCAGATAAAGATGTCTTCACTAATTTGAGTTTTTCTTTTAAACAATTTAAAGAAGTTATAATATGGGTTTCCTCATTGCTGTTAAGAGTTGAATACTTATCTGAATGCCCCATAATTATACCATACATGGACTTAGCATTTAAAAAATACAGTCATACAAAGGCTAGCATTGTTGTCACATCCTATTTCTTTCATAATTTAGTATTTATAAATGTATTTTATGCTCAGAACTTTGTTTCTTCTTAGAAAAATAAAAAAAAGAGAGGTACCATGGCTTTGAGTTGATACTGTAAATTAGAGTCAATTATTAAGCAACAAGGCATGTATCATGGAGGAGACAGATTTTTTTTTTTCCATTAGTGTTAGTAACCCTGTGTGGTTTCTATAGAGGAGGGAAGAATCAATGCTGTAAATTGATACCTGTTAACACTTATGGCAACAGAAGCTTGGAAACTATTTTGTAGGACTTCAGAGATTAATTGAAATATATTGCCAATTATGTGTTGGGCTGCTATGTTTATATCTCTATATGTGTTGATTTTGTAGATTGAGGGACAGACTAATAAAATTCTCAGTGAGACACTGTTGCTTTCACCATACATATATTTATCAACCAGCACTATGTCCTAGGGATTAAGTGAGAAAATAAATGGCTGAAGGTCATAGATTGGAAGTGAAAAACTTGGCCTCAAGTAGAGGGAACATGAACTTGGAGTCATCTGAAGAATGCTTATTGGTGAACTGACAGGAAGTAAGAAGACCAAGTTGTGAAGAATGTGAGAAAGGTGAAGAGTTGTATATTCTATCCATGACAACACATGTGGGGGAATCCTAGCATTCCCCAGAAAATCATGCATAAGTGGTTAGTGAAATAATCTTGGGCTGATGACTATCTACATTGTCCATAGAAGTCTTGAATCCTCTTAACTTTTTATCCCTCCACTGGATTTAGTTTTCAGTGTATTATCCCCAAATCTCTTTATAACATTATTTATGTTTGTGTATGTGCTATAATGTCTACTCTTTGCTAGACCATTCGCTCTGTGAGATTCATGTGTGTACCATTTATCCTAATGGCATGTCAAGAATGCCTAGTACATAGCAAAATAAATGTGTGGTGATATGAGTAGCATGTACTGGTATTTTAGAAAGCATACTACAATTCTGCCAGTACAGAGAATGTCGTTCAAAGTACGTTTTTAGGTATGTATTTTAATTTCAGCCCGTGTTTTATTTCCTGTAGGTGGTAGAATTTAGATTCATAGAGAACATTCTTGCTTCTTTTAGTTTCTTGCTTCCTTCGCTTTCAAGGATTTGGGGGGATTATTTAACTACAAAATAAGGCATCTTACTCTAAATTTCCATAGCATTAGGTTAAAAATCATGTGTTGTAAAAAACTGCCTTTGAAAATTCAGAAAATGACCTCAGTTTAGCCTGGTTACCATTTTTTGCAGCTTTGATTGAGCACCAGTTCAAGCAGTTATATACTCAGGTAAAAACTATGCTTATGTTTAGATGCTACCTTGTGCTGATAGAGTGCGTATGCTATGATAGACATGCAGAGACTGTTGGAGGGAAGTCAAATGTTCCTTCATGTGTTCACTTCGAGTGAAATGATGAGGAGAATCACCTAGACCTTTAATGTTTCTCTAGCTTCAGGAAGTAACTCTACTTTCTCTAAATTAAAATTTATATCTGATTGAGAAGCTGAGACAGATTATAAGTTCAAGGTCAGCCTAGGCTGCAAATTAATCTTTCCTTCCCCTACTTCTTAGTGTGATCCAACTCAGTCTTTGTTTAATTTTCTTGAATAGTCTAAAAAATCTGTTACTGGGAATTTAAATTTGGGGTCCCTTTGAATTCTGCACATTCCATTTAGTCAATGTGTTTCTCTAACAGTCCCTCTTTATCTGTTGAGGAAAAACTTGAGTCTTTCTCCTGTAGATTTTCACAGTCTAGATTTAACTGGTTATGTCCTGTGTTGCTTTAGAGTTTTTCTGTTCCTAACCTTTCATGTGAACTGGCAGGTGTGACCGCTCTAGAGACCCGAGCTTCAGATTGTTTCATAGGCAAGGATATTTCATAGGTGATTCTGTGCACTTCTTTTCATTCATAACAGGGTGACAGGATTTATTTCACTTTAGATGTTCTTTCACTGTGTTGGAGCTTGTCAGAACGACTAAAATTTATTTTTCTGTGAAAATAAAATTTTTATGCATGTCTGTTTGAATTTGGCAGGGTTCTCTAGGGAAATGGAATGAATTGAATGTATATACATTATAAAAGGATTTATTAGGCTGTATTTCATGATAGGGATTGCATATTCCAACAATGATTGCTTTTTTGCTGGATAGGTTGGAAGTCTAACTGCTCAGTCCAAAGAGCTGGCTGGTTTAGCAGTTTCAGGCCAGTGCAGAAGGCTTGGAAGCTCTTGAAGTGTCTTGTTATTAGGTGTAGTTTGGAAGGCTGAGGAAGCTGGAGTTTGAGGTCAGCTAATAGCAGCAACAGTGATGGACACTTGCTCAGTGAGAAGCAAAGTCAGGCAGGCAACACTGTCTTTTCCTTGGCCTGACTATCTTGGAACTCACTCTGAAGACCAGGCTGGCCTCGAACTCAGAGATCTGCCTGTCTCTGCTTCCTGAGCGCTGGGATTAAAGGCATGTACCACCACTACCCAGCTTTCAGAATGTTTCTTAGTTAAGTATTTATTATCTATAATATATAGGACAAACTTAGTGGGGTAACATATATTAAATCGAATCTACGCAAATTCATATCCCCAGTAACCATCCATCCTTATTAAAGCCATTTGTGTTACTATTCTCTTCTAATACTTGACTTTTTGTGACCCTCCCTGCCTTTACTGCTCATTTAATTAAATCTTGGGGACTTTGTTCTAGCAACCCTGATATAAACCACTGTTGCACGTTGAGATTTGACAAGGACTAGTGTATACAAAGTCTGCATTTGTTTGTTATGTCTGAATACCTCCTTATTCAGGTAGCTACAAAGATACTAGTAGGCTTGATTATTATTCCATCAGTGGGACTAGATTCTTTTCCCAGCCTTTAACATATTAATGAAATTTGTGTGCTCCATAGTTTGCACACCTGAACTCTGGTAACATCTGGAAGGAAATATGTGTATTGTTTGGGCAGGAGAGCTTCTGATTCCACTTTCTATGATAGTATTCTTGTTGCCCTCTCAATTCAAGTTTCAGCAAGTAATACACTTTGACTTCGCACTGACTAAGATGATGAATGTTCCTAAGTCACAGATTCCTTGAGACTAACTTTTCCAAGTTTGGTACCATGTGACTAAAATCAAGTTGTAGTAGGACTTCTGGTCAAGCTGATAAAATAATGGGGCTTTGTATTGAACTTTGTGCATTCTTTTTAAAACTATGAAGAACTTGGAATGAAATCCATAGTTTTAATCTTTCTTACCTCATTGCCAGAGTCAAGCATTTGAATCAGCTTATGTTTCATATGACAGTCAGGAAAAACTGGGCAAAGAGGATGTGAGGGGAAGTAACTGAATAATACAAATTAAAAAAACAAACTAACATATCATTTAAAATTATGGTGTAGAGTCTGAATGTGAAAGCAAGTTTCAGACATGACTGCTTATGCCTGTTTAGTCATTAGCATTGTTCAGTTAATTGCCCCTAGACTAAGTAGCAAATTTTTGCTTATTAAATCTCTAAAATTCAAGCAGTTTGTAATCTTCTGAAAAGCTACTTGCAGTACTAAATAAAGAAGCTGAGTGGGTGGCTTCTTAGAGGATAATGTAATGGATATGAAAAGAGTTTGCAAAGGGGCAGGTTTGACTATTCTGTTGCAGAACTTAGCACCCTGGCCCTGCAGTCTTCATGCTTTTCCTGTAACATTAGCCTCCCACTTCCTTCCTTCATGCTTGTCCCTCACTGATGTATAACTCCCAGTATATGTCATTTCTTTGTCATTGAAGGTAGTCTGTACTGACCTTGAAATCAGAAGTTAATCCAAATCATCTTTGGTGGTTTATGGATATTATTTTACTTTTTAGACTTGAGATAGCTATGGGAGATGGTAAAAAACTGTCACCCCATAATTACGGAGTTTAAGTAATTAATGATAAAGTGGTAGATATGGTGGTACTTATGTACAAGTTCAATAATATTTGTCCCTATTTCCCAGTTCTTATTCAGCTGTAGATTCCTTTTCAACCAAGAAACTTGAATTTACTAGTTTTTCAAATGTATCATGCCAATTCAGTAATTATGCCATAACTTAAAAAATGTTACAGAAATGAAGTCAGGGAATCTCAGACATTTCCAAGCATGCCAGCCATGTTTAGTTCCACATTAAAGCTCAGAAACAGTACTTGTTGAAGTATCTCACAGATATGATTAGAGATGTAGCCAACATGAACTTTTTCAAATTGTTAGTAACTGCATTTTTAAAGACATACCAGGTTGAGTGCATCAAAGGCAGCATCAAAGGCTACTGAAATGAGGCAGAATCACAATGCTTGTTCATTTTAGAGCTATAAGCAAATGTAGGAGAAAGTCTCTTGAGCGTTCAGACAGAAGGACTACTACCAGTGAAAAATAGCAGGGCTCACGAAGATATGCAGGTTTAGGAAATTTACATGAGATATCAAAATAATTTCATTCTAAGACCACTGGTTATTATTCTGCAATTAGTTGTGCATTTAAAACTCCACAATATTACTGTATGAAGAAGTATGTTTAGATTCTAACATTTCTCCCCCTCCCAGTTGGCAGACCCTGAAGCACTTTGTAGTGACAGTGTGTCTGGCCTTTGAGCTCCTTTTTAGAAGCTACTGGAAAATAACATGTATTATGCTTACTTTAGACAGAAAAGTAAGGATGGAGAAGTAAAAGACCAGCATTATCTCCTCAGTCTACTTCTGCAGGCAGGAGACATTACATGATGGGCTCTTTATTATGTATTATTTAGCAATTGGAAAATGACCATTACATGTGCATTGTTACCAGTTTTCTTACAGCTGCTCTAAAAGTGTTTGTGAATATGGAAGTATATTTTGTGACAAAGACCACTATCAAAAATGGGAAAAAGCAGTTGTCTGGCATGGGTATTGCTCCTGTTTTCTTTTAATATGTAGGGCAATCATGGCTGCTTGATCTTTACGCCACTGCAGAATCTAATTTGAGTTCATAGTCCTTTTAGTACATTAATGGCTCAAAGTAGCCACCACCAAGCATAGGTCCACAAAACACTTTAATTTTTCAGTCTTTATGTAATACGTTTATTAAAAATTTTGAGGCTGGAGAGATGGCTCAGAGATTAAGAGCACTGGCTGCTCTTCCACAGGTTCTCAATTCAATTCCCAGCAACCACATGGTGGTGCACAACCATCTATCATGATATCTGGTGCCCTCTTCTGGTGTGCAGCATACATGCATGCAGAAGACTATATATAATAATTAAGAATCTTTAAAATTAAAAAAATCAAGATTAAATTTATTTTTGCATTTTGATTATTTTATGCAGGAATTAGGGATAATTTTCTGCATGTAATTAATAAATACATTCTTATATCCATGTAATTTTACTTATTTAGCAATGTTTAATCTTCCTTTTTTTTTCTCCCCACAGATTCTGTCACGTTTTAAGAACAAATGCACCTTATAGCTCATGGAAGAAAAAGCACAAATCAAGACGTTTTTGGGTTCCAGGCTGCCAAAATATGGAACAAAATCTGTGAGAAGTACGCTGCAGCCAATGCCAAATGGGGCCACTGTGACTTTATTAGGAAATTCCAAGAACAGTAATGTCAAAAGTTACATCAAAAATAATGGCTCTGATTGTTCATTGTCCCATTCATTTAATTGGAGACAAGCAAATAAATACCAACTTGGTTCACAAAATACAGCAGAACTTAATAGTATTCAGAGTGCACATGGTAAACTAACTGATCCTGAGCAACATGCTCCTGCTCCAGGAACGCTGGATGGGAATGGGATAAAGGGAGGGTTGAAAAGTGCTTCTTTGTTCACATCCAAGTTAGCAAGACCATCCACCATGTTTTTGTCATCTACAGAAGAGTTAAATCAAAAATCTTTTTCTGGACCATCTAACTTGGGTAAATTCACCAAAGGCACATTACTAGGAAGGACTTCATATTCTTCGGTCAATGCGAAGTCACATTTGAATACGTTTTATAGGAACCAATCACCTGGTAACATGCAGAAGCCAAGAGTGAACTCCTGTGCCACCAGAAGCAGTTCTGGTGAAAGTTTAGCACAGTCCCCAGACAACACTAAATCTATTACTTGTGAAAAAATGGTAAGGTCACAAAGTTTTTCACATTCCATTCAGAATTCATTCCTCCCGCCTTCATCTATAACCAGATCACATTCCTTCAACAGAGCTGTAGACCTTACAAAGCCTTATCAGAACCAACAGCTACCCGTTCGAGTGCCTCTCCGGTCAGGTATGCTAACAAGAAATTCTCGGCAGTCAGAAGTACTCAATGGGAATGAGCACTTGGGGTTTGGTTTTAATAGGCCTTATGCTGCTGGTGGAAAAAAATTGGCCTTATCCAATGGCCCAGGTGTGTCTTCCACGTTGGGTTATAGGATGGTTCATCCCTCTCTACTGAAATCTGGCCGACCTCCATTTCCTGGGACTATGACAGTTGATAGTAATAAAAATTCACCTGCTGACATGTGTGTAGAAGAAGAAGCTGTAGTTTTGGCAAAGGATGACTCTACTGGTAAGGACCAAGAACTAGTTGAAAATGAAAGTTATCGAACAGACAATGATCAGACCATGAAGCATGAGTCTAAAATTAGGTATCTGAGTGATGATGTGGACGATATTTCCTTGTCATCTTTGTCATCTTCTGATAAGAATGATTTAAGTGAAGATTTCAGCGATGACTTTATAGACTTAGAGGACTCCAACAGAACTAGAATAACTCCAGAGGAAATTACTCTCAAAGAAGAAAAGTGTGAAAACAGATCATCAAAGGATATATTTGACTCTCCTAAGGAAAATGGACAGATCTTCAGCAAAGCTGATGAGTGGATCGATATAAGTGTCTCTGGTAAGTATGATAACCTTAATTTATGTGCTTTCTCCTAGTGATTATAGCAGCCAACATTTAGGATTGTCCTCTGATAGATTCCAAGATGCTGTTTCATGGAGAAGACTCAGTCTAGATAAAAGTGGAGCAGTAGGACATCATCCTTGTGGCTTGTTTCGATCCTGTTTTCATCTTGTCTAAGATAGAATCAGTCCAACCTCTCCAGACTCTGCTCTTTTAGGGGCTGTCTTCTTTAGGCTGTGCTTTCCAGATGGTCTTCTCTGCTCTGCTTGGGAGTGGCTTGCCATTAAATATTACCATTCACTGTAGCCATCATTGCAATCTGCTAAGAGTAAAGCTGTAGCAAGCACCAGTCGGATAACAAGTTGTATTCAGTTGAATGCTTTCTATTCTAGAGCATGTTTTTGGTTAGCAGTCCTTATGGTGATACTTAAGTGAAGCATTATATACTTAATGTTACTGAGGAGAGAGAGTGCCTATTAAACATCTCTTCTTAGACTTGGCTGTATTGGTACTTAGTGCAGAATGAAAGTTATTTGTTCAATTATTCAGAAGAATGAACACTGAAGGGAGTGCACAAAGGCATGCCTAGTCAAGGGACTAGGGCACACAGAGTGATGCACTGAACTTCTGTAGTCTGCAGCTCTTCCAAAATGGAAGATGTCTAAAACACATTTTCTCCTGTTTGGGACACATCTGTGAGGCTAAACAGTTCACAGAGAGGGAGAGCATTTCCTGAATGGTGGTTAAAATTCAGCATCATGGGAAATATTAAAGAAATGTGAGGTAGTGAGAAATGTTGCAGAGTGATTTTTTGTGTTTACAACAAAGTGGTTCAGCAACTTTGCCTGCTGTTTTGTTGTTTATTTAGAATTCAGAAAAATGCTACAGTTACAGTTTTTGAATCAAATGCTGTTGTAATACAATGGGTTATTAAAGCTTATATTTTAGAAATGAGAAATGACTGTTTTTTAAATTCATGTTTTTTTCCTTTCTTTTAAAATCATTTGAAGACAGGAGTGAATGTACAAAGCATACCTCTGGAAATAACTTGATTTCACCAGATACGGATTACAGAGCTGGGTCTTCATTTGAACTCTCTCCATCTGATAGCTCTGATGGAACGTACATGTGGGATGAAGAGGGCCTGGAACCCATTGGAACTGTCCATCCTGTTGGCAGCTATGACTCCTCTGAAATGAACAGCATAGTATGTATGGATTTGTGCCCCCTTTTGGAATTTCTTTTTACTCTGTTATACAAGATATATGACACTGATAAATATTTTAAACCTTGAAATCAACCTTCTTATTTGAGAAATAGGAATTCATACCTGTCTGTTAATGGCTTGTAAAATATATAACTAAAACATCAAGAGTATGTGACACTTGACTTTAGTACACACGCACATAAATGTATGATTGCACATACATATGTACACACACACACACACACACACACTCACAATTCATTATACACCCAGGCATTTATACTTTCTGTATTGGTCAAATTAACCTGACTTCCAAGGAAGTGAAGGGCATGGCCTGTAGATGTTTTTAGTTGCTATATTGAGAAGTGCCACTTGGTGAAAGGAGGTCAGGGGTGGTGTTTAACATTAGTGTTCCACAGAAAGGGTAGAGACCCGATGGAAACATTACTCCATGACCAAGCAAACCCTCTGTTAGGCTGATGATGTACTGCCGTTCTACCACCAACTCGGTGTGGCTTAATACAGTGGAAGGTTTGACTCTTGTTTTTACCAAGTCTGGGCAGCTCCAGTACAGTTGCCTTTAGTGACTTATGCTGCTTTGACCCTGAGCTTGACCTTGTTTTTGAAGCCCCTTATTCCTGTGATAGAAGAAGACAGTGTTGACTGTCATACTTTTTAATATTTTACTTGGCCTGCATATGGCACTAGGTGCTTTCATTCACAACCTGTTAACCAGAAGCTGTCTGTGGTCCCACATAAGTACTCAGGGAGTAGGAAATGTAATCCCTGTTTCTGGAAAGAGGGAACCAGAGGAGCTGCTGGGTATTAATGCATGGCTCCTTTACAAAACATTATAAGTAACATGGATAATGACAGACGAATAAAATGTAGCTGGTATATTTAAAATGGCTCAGTGGAATTATTAGGTTATACAATAGAAATCCTCATGCAATCAAATTGGTTTGTAGATATATAACGTTCTAGCTGGCTTTTCAGGCAGCACAACTTGACACGGAGAAACAAGATATTTTGCAAGAGGCTTTAAAATTCCACAGACATAAGGAAGCCTTTGTGTATGTAGTTTACAGAGTATCTTCATCTGACTAGGTTACAGTTACAGTTTAAGACATCACTATATTCTTTTTAAATGTATAATTGAGGTGTTTATCAACATTTGTTCAATAGATGGCAGTAGTAGATCACTTAGGACAGTTTTTAAAGGTTCGTTATCATAACTGACAGAAGGCCTCTCTACAGTTTAGAATGTACATGGATGACCTTGGTGTTAAAATCCATGAGTATATGTCTTGATTACTATGCTTGAGAATAACAGATAGGAAGCAAGGAGTCTTCACACTGTACATCAGAACAAGATGGTGGCTCCTCATTTTCCTCTCTGCTTCTTTTTGAGTCTGGATTTCACTATGTAGGCCTGGCTATCCCAGAACTCTCTGTGTTGGCCAGAGTGACTTCAGATTCACAGAGTTCTGCTTTCTTCTGCCTCCCAAGTGCTGGGATTAAGGGTGTGCAATACCATGCCCAATTTTGATATTTGTCTTTTCTGGTCCAAGAAGAAGACAGTATGAGGAAGGATAGAGGGATCAACAGCAACACCTTGAGGTCTTCTTTGATAGTGGACTTACTGTTTTGGATGGATGTTCATATTTTTTGCTTTGAATATTTTTAGCTTTCTTTGTTTTCATGATACATCACTTAACTGTTTGGTCTTCATTGAGTTGCCCTGTCTTGGCTGATGTATTTTGTCTTCCCTGTTTGTGCCCAGATATCAGTATAGTTTGTCAGTTTTATTTGTAAATTTCCCTCCCTTTTACAGTAAATCTGCTTGATCTTTAGCAGATAATTTATTTAATAATAATTTTGTTCTTTTCTTTTAACCAAGGATGTACTTCACTCTGACATCTTACTATTTTTAGTTATCTTCCTTTTTCTGTTTTCCCATTTTCTTTTCCTTTGATTAAATAATTCCTGTTGATACTTGTAACTTAACTCCAAATGGACTTAGCATGCTGTCTCTTTTCTTGAGCTTTACAACAGTGTGAATTCCAGTCCAGGTTAATATAAGGGAAATTTCTCTAGATTGTATGTTGGTTATCACTACTGATGCACTTTAGAGGAAACCACCCACCTGTCCTGTTGAGAATTTAGCTCAGGGTCTTGTGCATGCTGTGTAAACACTCCAGCACTGGGCTGTATCCCCAGTTAGCTCCTGTTTCCTTCAGCTGATGCTGCTTTTAGAGCAAGCTTTGTTTTTGAAGGAAAAGAGTGCTAAAGACACTTGGCACAAGTTCTCCTGTTGTCAAGGATAAACAACTTTCAGATCAGCACTTTGTAAACAGTCACTCTAGAATCTTGGCTGTTGGTTTACATGCTTACACACCAGGGAAAAACGCCAGTCCACCTCCGGAGGCTCCCCGGAGTGCAGGGGCCTCCCCATTGGCATCCATGATCAGTGGGCTGGATCAGTCCCATACTAGCTTCTCAGACAGCATCTGGGGTTGATATGCTTTCCCTTTTTCAGGCCAACTGTTTCTGTGGGTTTCTCCAACCTGGTACAGACCCCTTCGATCTTCATTCCTCCCTCTTTTCAACTAGGTTCCAGATTTCAGCTCAGTGTATTTCTGTGGATGGCTGTCTCTGCTTCCATCAGTCACTGGATGAGGGCTCTAGGATAGCATAGAGAGTAGTCATCAATCTCATTGGAGGGGAAGGGCTTCTAGGCTATCCTCTCCTCCACTGCCCGGACTGTCAGCTCGTGTCATCCTTGTAGGGCTCTGGCGATCTCCCTAGAGCCAGATCTCTTCTTGGACCTATAGTGGCTCCCTCTGATATGGGATTTCTCCTCCTGCTCTCTCTCCTCTATTCTTCCCCCTACTCAATATCTCTGCGCCTCCATTTCCTCTCCTCGACTCCTCTTCTCTTGCTCTTATTGTAGCAGCACCCTCTCCCCTACCCTCATGCTCCCAATTAGCTCAGGAGTTCTTTTCTTTCTTGTTCAGGGATGGTTGGATCACTATAGCTTGCTAATATCCTTGTGCAAGGATCATTTGAAATTAGTTGTATTTCTCCAGATGCTTACATTCTGTCTCTCCCTACAAGCCATGCTGGAACTTAGCAAGCCTTCCTATCCTGTGGTCCCTTTGCCTACCAGTTTATTCACCTTCCAAGGTTGCATTCAGATCTTTCTCTTCTCCTTCTCTCCCTACAAAGGGTTGTGGTTTAATGATGAGGTGCAACCCAACACTTTTAAACCACAACCTGGTTTTCTGCTGGATTGTGAGAACTCCACATCTGCTTTACACAGTCAGTACTGACTAGTGACCCCTTTCACCTTGCTTTGAACTGTAGCAGCCCTTCCTCCTATTTTAGCACTATCCCTGTGTGTTATCATACTACTTTATATTGATTTTTCCACTTATATTGAAGACATAAGGATCTTATAAGGATTAGACTATGTTTCTTTTTTTTGTATCAAAGGAGAACCTATTGAGTCTTTGAAATGACATTAATAATCTAGATTTGGTAGGAAGCTAGAGATATGGTAGTGATATGATTTATGAATTTTATTTTATTGTTCATTAAATTCTCATTTTTGATACTTATTGCCCTTCACCCAAGATTTTTTTTAACATAACATATGTGAGTATTGAATGCAAAACTTTGGTTTGTGTTTCATGAGGCTATTTTCTGGTTAAACTTTGGTTCTTAGGAGTTTTTGACTTTTTATTAATTTATTGATTTGTTTATTTGTTTGTGCATGAGAGCAGGAATTGTGCATGTGGAAATCAGAGGATAACTTGCAGGAGTCAGTTCTCTCCTTCTACCACACGAGTCCTGTGAAATAAATTCATGCTCTTAGTATAGGTGGTAAACTACTTTACCTACTGAGACATCTTGTCATTCTCATTTTTGTCTTTTTCTTTCACGGTGAATTTATAGCTTCCCTTGCTTTTCTATTGAAGCTAATATGGAATATTATTTCCTCCATTCTTTCATACTCATGATGTTATAGTGTTAACATAACATCAATAACACAGTGTTAATGGTTTCTACAAAATAATGTAGAACATGGGGTGATTTATTAAAGAGCTTGGCCAGATGGTGGTACATGCTTACAATCTCTCCATTTGGATGCAGGAGGTTTATGAGTTTGAGATCAGCCTGAGCAAAATATAGCAAAAGCCCCTGTCAAACAACAACAACAAACAACAAATAAAAAAGAAACAAAAACAAAAAAACAAAAACAAAAAACCAAAGAATCAAAGTAGTTGCCTTCTCCCTTGAGTCAATTGAGTCATCCTTACCTGATGTCTCCTGTCCCTCTGATGCTTTAGTATATCTTAGAAACAAGATTTTTCCCTTGTCTATAGAATAATCATTCAGATCATGACATGATCATGTATATATTACTGCCATCTAGTCTTTGCATCTCACTCAGATTTCTCCACTTGACCAGCAACATATTCTTTGGGAATCAGACACATTAGAATCACCCATTGGTTTTGGTTAGTACGAGCTTTAGTCTTGTCTGTTTCCTGGCCAGTGTGCTCCATGTATTTGGCTTTTGTGTTCCATTCTTGTGTTATTCCTTGATTCCATTCTTATGTTATTCCTTGATTTCTTGTATAAGGTGGTTTCGTCTTTCTTAATTTTTGTTTACTCTAACTCCGGACTAGCTACATCTCTAGAAGCTCTGGTTCTGTTTCATCATAAAAGGAATCATAAAACTAAGTATGCTAATTCCTGTCACAGAATTGTTCCTAGCAGGAAATCTTGTGTGTGTGTACATGTACATTGGTGTTCCCCATGTGCCTTGCTTACAACATCAGACTAAATCCTGGCTTTTAGTCTTCCCTGTCTGTGGAAGTCTTTATAACCCCTTACATTCTCATTCCTGATATACAATCCAACTAGTGTGGTTCTTTCATATTATAAGGCAGGCTTGACCTTGAGTGTTAGGTGAGGCTTTTTGAGGAAGTGAT